CCCGGGCAGGAAGCGAGAGCAGGCTCCTTACACGGGAATGTGTCACACTCTTCAGCTCTAGGGTTCAATCCTTCTGAGTAAAGGATGGGTTCGACGGTGACCCTGAGCTGAGCGGTCCTGACACTCCCTCTAGTGCCAACAAGTTCACACGAGGGGCTGCTGTGCGCTGTGCTCCAGGGAATGTGGCTTTTGGCAGCAGGCTCCAGATGATTGTCACCTCTGTGCCAGCATGTCTCCGGCCCACACAGCACAGGAAACATCCCTGCCATGGGGATGGCAGTCTGCTCCAGCCCTGCTCCGGTCAGTCCCTACAGGAAAACCAAGAGCGGAGGGTTTGGGACATGTTCCACTTTGCAATATTTCCACAAAAGTTTTGTCCGCAGGGACAAAGCATCACAAAGGAGGCTTCAGACTTTACTCCAGCCAAGGTCGTCAGAGGCTGAGATGGGAACCTGCTCTGGCACAGCTTACCAGACATTCCGCAGTTGTGGCTCCAAGCTGTGGCTTGAAGCAAGCCCAAGGATCATCAGATCAGATGGTCTTGCCAAGACAGAGATGCTCATTCCTGTGTTCTCTTTGCTAACGTCAAAGACTTGATAGTAACTCATAGTCTCCCTGCCTCTTACACAATGGGAAGTTGTCTGCCCTTTTCCCACTGCCTTAAATCATAGAATCCCAGACCAGTTTGGGATGAAGGGAGCTTAAAGCTCCTCCAGCTCCACCCCCTGCCCCGGGCAGGGACCCCTTCCACTAGAGCAGGTTGCTCCAAGCCCCTGTGTCCAACCTGCCCTTGAACACTGCCAGGGATGGGGCAGCCACAGCTTCTCTGGGCACCCTGTGCCAGCGCCTCAGCACCCTCCCAGGGAAGAGCTTCTGCCTCAGAGCTCATCTCAATCTCCCCTCTGGCAGGTTCAAGCCATTCCCCTTGTCCTGTCCCTACATCCCTTGTCCAAAGCCCCTCTCCAGGTTTCCTGTCAGCCTCTTTAGTTATTGGACTCCAAGGATAACTAACGTGCCATTGCTTCTAGAAAGAGAAGTGACAGTGTAACCCAGGGGTGGTGACTCACTCTTTGAAGCCACATGATGAGATCAAACATCTAAGAAGCATTTATTAACAGTGTTGTTTTACAGAACAGGGCAGGAGTCTTCTGTAGTTGAGGGTTTTTTCTCCCTCTCTCCCATTTTCCTGTCCTTTGGAAAGTAAAAACTTTCTGAGTTACAACTTGTCCAGCAAAAACCTTCCATCACCTGCAGAATGTCCCCCACGGCAAGTGCAGAAGGACCACAATCCTCACATGGGCTTTTCCTGCTTCCTGGGATCAACCTTGCCTGCATCATCACCCAGGCCACCTCCAGTCCAAGCTTCTTGCTTTTACCAGAGAGTTTCATGGGTTTAGTTATCTTGGTTCTGTACCTGCACTGCACCAAGTGATCGACTTCCATTCCAGCCACTCTAAGGAACAACCTAAAGGGCAGAGAACCTTCTGTCACCATCCCAGGTGCTGCTCTGCTGATGCCTTTTCTCCCTCCACCTCTCCCTGCCTGCTGCATCTTCCCAACCTTTCTCTTGTGCTCCTACTGAAGTTAGTGCAGGCTGGTGGGGAGTCATGGCAGGAAACAAAACAGCTCAGAAGCAAATAAGAGCTGACCTATCCTCCAGAGCCTTGATAGCGAGGGCTGACAGACACAGAGGGGAGAGAGAAGCAGAGAAAGGGAGAGACAGAAGCAGAGAAAGGGAAAGACAGAAGCAGAGAAAGGGCTGCCACAACCCATTGTACCCAGGGAGAGCCAGGCTAGAGGGATTCAGTCCTCATGGCCTCAACAGCAGTCCACTGTTTTCTTTCCCTCTCCCTGTATCCTCTTTCATATGGAAAATCCAATCTTTACAGAGCCTCCAGTGCTTGTGGGGTTGTCTCCTTTTAACCCTACTGCTTTTGCTTTTCTCGATGAGGAACAGACACACCAGAACTGGATACAGACCTCAGGTCACGGTTGCGAAACGCCGTTTGCTCAAGCCAACTCATCCTGACAGCCTGGAGAAAAGTGGGAAGAACCCCGAGAGGCAGTTCCAGTCAAGAACCCACGTCATGTGCAGGCAAAACTCCATCTGCAGCAAAAGCATTTCGGGGAAAGCCTTCCAGGGGCAATCCCAAGCACATGCCTATTTGCCTGGTAACAAAGCTGGATGTGAAATCTTCACACGCTCTTCACACATGTCTGGAGATGCAGGCACAAGGGTTTGCCCTGGAATTGTTCTGCCCTGCTGTGACAAGCGTTTTGATCCACCCGCACTCTGCTTTTAAGCAGACACGCCAAAATAAGCCCATGGGCAGGAGGGAAGAGCCTCCATGGCTCTGTTTGAGCAAGATCACTTTTGAGATGGGGAAAGCTCAAACCTGTTGAATAGGACACATTCAAAGCAAAAGCTTTGAATCATCACAGATCAGTTTGGGTTGAAGGAAGCTTAAAGCTCCTCCAGCTCCAACCCCTGCCCCGGGCAGGGACACCTTCCACTAGAGCAGGTTGCTCCAAGCCCCTGTGTCCAACCTGCCCTTGAACACTGCCAGGGATGGGGCAGCCACAGCTTCTCTGGGCACCCTGTGCCAGCACCTCAGCACCCTCCCAGGGAAGAGCTTCTGCCTCAGAGCTCATCTCAATCTCCCCTCAGGCAGGTTCAAGCCATTCCCCTTGTCCTGTCCCTCCATCCCTTGTCCAAAGCCCCTCTCCAGGTTTCCTGGAGCCCCTTTAGGCACTGGAGCTGCTCTAAGGTGTCCCCTTCAGGAGCCTTCTCTTCTCCAGCTGCCCCAGCCCAGCTCTCTCAGCCTGGCTCCACAGAAGAAGTATTTCATCACTCTGTTCAGTGTCCCTCCGCAGGCAGGCGTTCCCATCCCACCCAGCACGCTAATCCACACTGCAGCTAATCCTTTTCTGGCCCATGTTCCTTGTCTCCATCCCTGGAGCGTCTTCTCTCAGGGTGGGGATGCAGAGGTTTAAACAGCTGGCTCCACTGTGTTTTCTCTGCGATTTTCATCTCTATTTTGGGGCTCTGTTACGTCTCCAAAAGCCCTCTGGAAAGCAACCCTCACAGAGAGCGTGAACTTCTTTGTGCAGCTCCCAGCCAAGAAGTAAATACAAGGGTTGATGCTGCTGTTGACACAGGCCAAGGGGAGAGAGGCATCGAAGACGAAGACTGAAAAATGAAACAGCCTTAGCAAAAGCCAATACCCAAAATCAGCAGTGAGGAAGGGGAAGAAGAAGACAGTGAGCAGGACCACAGCACAGAGCTTCCTTGGAGGATGTTGCCACGAACAACACAAGACCCTGGCAAGCAGGGTTAGACCAGATAAAACCAGGGTAAGCAGCGATAAGAGGTAGCTCAGGATGAAGGCAATGAGCGCTGCAGGGCAGAAGAAGAGGGTCATGGTGAGGAGGAAGGAGAGGGCCCAGAGCAGGGCACATACGAGCACTGTCAAGCACTGGGAGCGGTGGCAGGGGCAGCAGGTCATGGGGAGGACAGACAGAGCTGTCAAGGCACTGAAGGCTGTCAAGAGGTAGACGCTGGCAGTGAAAGAGAAGAGGATGGTGATGTTCAACACAGTCGTCACATCCCGTGAGCTCAGCCTGTGACAAAGGGTCTCTGGGACATAAAGTATCACAAGGGCAATGGTGATGGAGAGGAGGAAGGTGAAGTCGGCCACGGCCAGGTTGAGGACGTAGATGGTGATGGGGTTCCTGCGGACATGGGAGATGAAGAACCAGAGCACAGCCCCGTTCCCCACCAGCCCGCAGAGGCAGATGAGCAGCGTGACAGGGACTTTGCTCCAGTGACCAGCTTCACAGTCAGTCCAGTTGTAGTGACTGTCCCCATGCATCAAGAGCTGGTGATGCCAACTCCTGTTACACGCTGTCTCCCCGGGCTGGGTCCAGCAAGCAGGGCTGGTTCCTTCCATGGCAGGGAGCGATGTGCTCATTGCAAAACCTCTGCTGCTTCTTCCTCCTCACACAGCTGGGGGGATGAGATGAAACAGAGACATGTTAGCACCTCTTCTGTCCCCCACACTAGGCTTTCAGACCTTTGCAGCCATGCCCCAGCTTCTATGTGGAGGAGCACAGAGAGAAATAAGGGACAGGAGAGGTGGAAGACAGGATGTGGGGAGATGGGGATGACATACCTGGCACAAAAGCATGTACAGAAGTGGAGGCAAAGCTGGGGAGATGCCTCCTTCCTGGCTTTCGATGGGGCAGATCTGGAAGATGGAAATAATAAGCTGAAAGGATTGTCCTCGGAGGTGCCCATGGCAGGGGGTTGGAAATAGATGATCCTTAAGGACCTTTCCAACCCAAACCATTCTGTGATTCTATATCGAAGAACAAGTGGGTTTGGGGGTGGATCTGACATGGATTCTCAGTTGTCTAATGTTACAGCTGATACTGCCAAGCCGCTGGCTTCCTTCAGTGGGACACTCATTTCAGTGTTTTCCTACCACCTATTCCCATGGGTCTTCATATCCCAGAGACCACTATTCCCCAGTATTGACCTACAGGTTCAAACCAATGAGGGGAGGCACTAAATTAAGCTGGAAAAGTCTGACCTTGTCTCCTGTGGCAGCCTGGACAACATCACTGGAGCAGACCCACATCACCTCGCACTCACCATCTGCTGCCTCCGTGATGGTTCATGAGGTTTCCTGGAATTATCACTTGGAAAACTGGACCAAAGCCTTGGAGAGCCTGCGCAGCCCCCAGCAAGGGGTCTTTCTCAGCTCCTCTCACAGAGCAGCTTGCTGATAGCCAAGCAGGTCAAGGGTTCCTGTAAAGAGGGGGCTATTTCACTGTGTTTGACAGTATCAGGGTTCTGCCTATAACCTCTTCTTTGCACAGGAAATGAGTAAAAAGAGTCTCAGAAATTAGACGTATGGGAAGAGCTGATTGTGATCCGTGTCATGTTCCTCTTTCATGTCATTTTAAAGGAACCCCAGTCCCAAAATACTCGTCTCTTTGAACAGGCTGAACTTTCCTCCTCCTCCCATTCCAGGCGTGTGTCTTTAGGACCCCGCGCTCCAAGCTGGGCGTTGCTGCAAAACCTCTGTTTCTGGTTCAGATCTGGGTTTGCCACTCGTGCTCCGCAATTTCACAGCAATACTTGACCTTCAAGTACACCGTTTCCAAGAGCACAGCACTGAGGGCACCAAGGAGCACAGGAGAGATGGCTCAGGATTCCAGGAAAATCTGGGTTTTCCTAAGGAGACGTGAATCAGTGCTGCTCGGTTGGCTTTAACCATCAAAATGTTATGGGTTTCGTCTGTGTTTCTTTGACAGTGCCTCGGACAGGCCCATGGAACTTCTGGAGAGCTGAAGTTAGATGAGATGGGTCCTACCCAGACTGACTGTGGTGAAGGACAAATGCAAACAGCTCCTGTTGCATCTGGGAGCAGAGATGCTCCTGCTGGGAACTGGCACACACGGGGATCGTAGGACCGAAACTGCCTCCTCTCTGCTTTGGTGATGCTGCATTTGTGTCCCTAACTAGAGAATCTCACAATTCCAATCGAGAATCTCACAATTCCTCGTCATGCCGATGTTTTCAATGCAAACAGGCCATGAGAAGGGAATCATAGACTCACAGACTGGTTTGGGTTGAAGGGAGCTTAAAGCTCCTCCAGCTCCAACCCCTGCCCCGGGCAGGGACACCTTCCACTAGAGCAGGTTGCTCCAAGCTCCTGTGTCCAACGTGGCCTTGAACACTGCCAGGGATGGGGCAGCCACAGCTTCTCTGGGCACCCTGTGCCAGCGCCTCAGCACCCTCACAGGGAAGAGCTTCTGCCTCAGAGCTCATCTCAATCTCCCCTCTGGCAGGTTCAAGCCATTCCCCTTGTCCTGTCCCTCCATCCCTTGTCCAAAGCCCCTCTCCAGGTTTCCTGTAGGTCAAGGTACATCAACATCTACCCATGTGCTCAAGAAAAGAGCAGAGTCACCCAGGGTTTCTCAGCTTCTGCTTTTGTAAGTAACATCCTGAGCGTGTTTGCCTAAAATGTTGATTTCCAACACATGATTTACAGGCATAGGCTGGTTGTTTGCGCTGGGATCAGGCTTGTGTGTGCACAAAGGAACCTACAGCCTGTGTGTGTTATGGCTCTGGCAGCAGCTGTTTCTGTGTGCTGGGAAAGCCAACAAAGCCATCTGGCAGGCAGAGCTCAGCCTCCTCCAGCCATCACCCATGAGAACCTCCCCTCATTTTCTTGGCTCTTTTCTTGGCTCTGCCCTGGTGGTTTGCTCCATGGGCTTCTCCATCCACTGCACAATATTGCACTTTCCAACAGCCAGCAGCGACTAGTTGTCTGTCTGTCCATCCTCTGTCCAACCCAGCACAGTGCCCACCACCAGCCTCTTTGCCTGCCCCTGCCTCCCCACTCAAACCCCATTGGAAGGGTAGACGTCTGAGTGTTGACTGATGCTTCCAGCTCCATCAGCCAGATTGAGATGGGTTTTCTCTGTCAGATAGTGCCACAGGAGGACATAAAGCCAGAGGGAGCTGAGAACATCCTTTCTGTCCCTCGCTATCATCCCCTGTGGGCTGGGGGCTTTTGAGAATGAAAGGAATGAGTGGTTGGTGCTTTAGTATCAGTCATCAGGGTCCCAGAAATGGGTAGACACAGGAAGAGTTGGGACTTTCCATGTGGGAAGCAGACAAGGTGCAGATGGGGGCCCAGGAGCATGGCTGTGCTCACCCTGGAGGAGAATGGATGAGGCAGGACTTTAGCCCTGGAGAACAGGAGAACAGATGAGGCAGGACCTTCTGGACCACATCATTTCAGCATATATGATGCATGTATAATGTCTAGTGGGCAGCGTGAGGGGATGGTCACAGACAGGATTTTGAGAACAAGCTCCCCATGGAGCCCTCAAGAGAAGAAACCACGATCACCAGTAACTTACATGAAATACACCTTTATTTAAATAATTTAAGACCAAGTTCGAGCTGGGAACCAGCCCTGCCCCTGGAAACATCATTGACTATGGGGGACACAACTGTCAACTGCTGGTCCTGCTCACCCAGCCAGCCCATGGGTGCTGACATGGGGTGCAAAGGCAGGGCCACCCCTTTCCAGCCTGCAGCCATAGGAGTTTAGGCAGCAATTTCCATCACCGGGGTCTCACCCACCTCTTGGGAATCTGCCCTATCTTCAAAGACCCTCTGAAGAGCCACTTTGACGGATCCCCTGAACGTGAACTTCCCAGAGCTCCCAACCAGGACATAAATAACGGGATTGATGCCGCTGTTGAAAGAGGCCAGCAACAGGCAGATCTCAAAGACAAAGTTAGTGTAGACAAAGAAGTTGAGGAAGATCTGGACACTGAGCGGGATGCCGAAGAGGAGGAAGAAGAGAACGGTGAGGAAGATGACAGTGTAGAGCCTCGCCGGGTGATCTTGCCAAGAGCTGCGCCTGAGCTTGATGAAGAGGACCACGTTGGAAAGGACCATAAAAGGAGTGAAAAAGCAGAAATTGAGGCAGCACAAGAGCCCAAGAACCATCCCACAGTGTTGGGAACGACCCAGGTCACACACAAAGTACACCAGCCCCGCAAGCACACAAGAGAGGGCCCACAGCAGGATACACATGGCAGCAGACAGGAGCTCCGGACGATGGCCTCGGCACCAGAAGGGCCAGAGGACACCCATACACCTCTCCACGCTGATGGCAGTGAGGAGGTAGAGGCTGGTGCTGTACGTGAGCAGAACCATGGAGTGAAATAGCGGCAGCATCCGCAGGAGCACTGGCTGGGAGCAGCTGAGCACGGGCATGTGATAAACCACAAGGAAAGCTGATGTGAAGAGGAGAAAGCAGAAGTCGGCCACGGCCAGGTTCAGGAGGTAGGCGGTGAAGGGGCTCCTCCTGATGCGGAAGCCGAGGAGCCAGAGCATGGCCCCGTTCCCCACCAGCCCGCACAGGCAGATGAGCAGCGTGATGATCCCGGTGATGAGTTCAGGGACGTGTTTTGCAAAGCACCAGGTCTCGTTGTGTTCATCCTCATAGACCAGGCTCTCTGTAGGCGCTGGGGACACTGTGTGCCAGTCATGGACTGTGTCGTTGGGGTGTGGGTCCATCTTCCTCCTTTCTCTCTTGTGCTCGCCTGGGGAAAGGCGAAAGGTGAAGGCAAAATCAGTGATTCTCGGGTCACTGGTGCTGTGAATGTCCTCTGGTCATTCTGTCTTCTGCAATCAATCCTTCACGAGCTACAACGTCTGCTACCCAGAGAACATCAGAACTGAGCAGTGAGGAAAGGTAAGTGAAAGAAAGAGGAGAAAGAAGGGAAGGGAAAGGAAGGGATAGGGATAGGGATAGGGATAGGGATAGGGATAGGGATAGGGATAGGGATAGGGATAGGGATAGGGATAGGGGGGGAAATCTTGGCCCATGGTGGCAGAAGACAGACAGAGCTGGAAGAGGAGTGGAGGGATGGATAAAAGGCATGCAGAGCCATTTGGCCTTTAAGGATTAAAACCAGCTGAGAAGACAGATGGGAAGAATGGACAGAACAGAGACAGGAGTGGAGGCAAGTCCCAGACCCCTCTCACCAGGCAGGGGAGGGCAGAATCCTTGCACAGTTTTGGTTTCCAGAGCTGCAAACCCCAGTCCTCTGTGTCAGACTTGCACATGTACCTTTACAAAGCTGCCACACCAAAACCATCCCAGGTGAGATCTGGCCACCAGGAACAAGGGATCTCCATGGTGAGGTTCCTCCGGCAGTCTGCGTGTGGGCTCTGGCACTGCAGCTCCTCCTCAGCTCCAAAGGGGCCCTGGGTTTCTGCTCAGGGGTAGTCACTGAAGGGATGCAGATGTGCCAGGGCTTGGTGATCACTTGTGAGAGCAGCGGAAGCAGGTTGCCAAAGAGTCACCCTCACAGGATGGGCGTTGCAGACCCATGTGCTGGTTGCTTCAAGCGCTTCCTGTTTGCAAACCTGCTGTTGTGTTGTTTTCCTTCTTGTTTGCTTCTTCTCTTCTGAGCCCATCAGCAACACCCCTGAGATGTGTCATGGTTCCCATCCATGTGAATGTCCACTCTTTTCTGTTACATAGAAGCCACCATCAACCCCAGGGAGATGATGCTGAATGTCACTTCCCTGTCTGCAAGAGCTGAGTGGGCACCTCCATCACCCCGTGCCATGGGGAGGGCAAGAGGGAAGCTGGATGGAGTGACACATCCAGCCACCGCATCCCAGGGGTGACACATACCACTGGACCTGCCCCTCACTGATGCTGGCTGCTCTGTGCCCCATCCTCACATCTCTGCTGAGGTTGCAGGGATGCAGCGTGAGTCCTCGGAGGAGAACTCTGCTCATGGCACGATCTCTGTCCTGCTTCCTTGTCTGCTGAACAGCAAATCTAAACAAGTCATAGAATCACAGAATCCCAGACTGGTTTGGGCTGAAGGGAGCTTAAAGCTCCTCCAGCTCCAACCCCTGCCCCGGCCAGGGACACCTTCCACTAGAGCAGGTTGCTCCAAGCCCCTGTGTCCAACCTGCCCTTGAACACTGCCAGGGATGGGGCAGCCACAGCTTCTCTGGGCACCCTGTGCCAGCGCCTCAGCACCCTCCCAGGGAAGAGCTTCTGCCTCAGAGCTCATCTCAGTCTCCCTTCTGGCAGGTTCAAGCCATTCCCCTTGTCCTGTCCCTCCATCCCTTGTCCAAAGCCCCTCTCCAGGTTTCCTGGAGCCCCTTTAGGCACTGGAGCTGCTCTAAGGTGTCCCCTTCAGGAGCCTTCTCTTCTCCAGCTGCCCCAGCCCAGCTCTCTCAGCCTGGCTCCAGAGCAGAGCTGCTCCAGCCCTCGCAGCATCTTCATATTCCCTTTAGGATCACTGTGATCCCAAGAAATAAACAAATAAATAAAGGACAGGAAAAAGAAGCAGAAAGCAGAGTTGGAGATGGTGTTTCACCATGTCTGCCATATCCAGGGCCAGCTGGGTGGAATGCCAAACCACAGGAACATATGTGTGAACTGAACTTCATTAATCAGCATTCCTCTGCCTGCAGCTCACACTGCAGATGGCTCAAGAGGAGGCACTCACTTCCCGACAGAAACATCTCCCAACCCACCCAGAGATCAAAAAGAGCTTTATATTTATAAGAAATTAGAACAAAACAGGGTAGTAACAACAATACATGGTCCATAGCAAAGGACAATCCTTTCACCCCAGGTTGTTTAAGTAAAACAAGTGTCTTAGTGCTGAGCTTCCAAATGTCCCAGTGAGCAGCGATGCCAAGCAAGCTCTACAATCACCACTGTCATCTCCTGCTCTCTCTCCCTTTGCCCCAGGTGTTCTTCCAACCACAAGTCCTTTGGGCCAGCTTGCTCCAAATTCCCCCCTGGCGCATTCCCAGCATCCTGGTGCGGTATCCTCCGGGAAGCCCCACTGGATGAATGGGCTGAGCTGGCCGGGAATAGTCACCCACTGCAGGACAATGGGGAATACACCCTGGCAGCTCTGAACCAGTGTTGCTGAGGGGCTTATCCTTCAACCCCTGAAAGAATCCACCCAAAAGTAGCTTTTTCATACTAAAGCAGTAGAAGGATTAGCTACAAATGCCCTGCTCTGGTAACAGGCTGTGTTAAATGCAACACATCAGCACTGCAGCTCCATCTCCCTGTTGCTCCCAAAGCTTCTGTTCAGTTGGAATTCCATGGGACAGAGGGAAAGCTTTCTTAATCCATCTTCAGCCAGTGTGAATTGGCAGAGGTCTGCAGAGTGGTACCTGCCAGCTTCTGCAGCTGCAGGATGTGCTTCATCATCCATCCTTCTCCTTCCAGGAAGGTGAGACCTATTGCAGCATCCGTATCCATGAACAGCATGAGAGCATCCAACCCCTCCCACTTCCCAGGCACTTTTTCTCCCAGAAACTTACCCAGACATGGTTCTGCTTTTTGTTGGCGTTCCCTATAGTAGGAATCTTGCAGAGGTGACCATGAAGAATGAATGGGAGGTTTCAGTCAGAAATCCTCTGGGTGCTGCTGATGCAGATGCATGCAGATAGTTGCCTGCTTCCAGGATGCCCCCATCCTTCCCACCCCAGGTCCAAAGCCCAAGAGCGCTGCAGTAAAGATGCTC